AGGCCATTGCTATTAGGTTGGAGGCCATTGCTATTAGGTTGGAGGCCATTGCTAGTAAGTTGGAGGCCATTGCTATTAGGTTGGAGGCCATTGCTATTAGGTTGGAGGCCATTGCTAGTAAGTTGGAGGCCATTGCTATTATATATTATCATCCAATGCCCTTCACAGCAACGGACCCGCGGACCCTCTGGGTGGCACCTGAAAGTGAGCATTGATGGTGGCCTCCTTCATCTGTTTTTCAGTCCTAAGCTAGGCAATTCCGCATCCGAATAGACCGTCTGTGGGGATATATATATATATATATATAGGCATTATATATATATATATTATTATATATTGACTTACTATGATAGAAATCACGTGAACAAATTGGACATCTACGTAAGAACAAACTGTTCAAACATCCCTGGTGAGACTGAAAGCCACCACACTGCTTCTACATCAACATGCTGGTCCGGCCTCCCCGTCGCATCTGACAGGCCTCCGTTTGCAGTCCCATTTCATCCCTTCTTCAAACCTCATCAAACCTCCAAAAAGAACTTCAACGATCCTTAGGAGGAAGCAACTCTTGGACTATCTTGGACTTAATGCAACTGGAAACGTCTATTTAGAGGCTGAACAAGGTTCTGGGTCCTACGGATTCAAGGACTCCATCTGTCCATCTATCAAGTTCCGCCTTCCAACACCCCAGAGAAAACGAGCATCGAGCATAGCATCGATCTGGGCCATCTGAGTTGAAGGCCCCTCCCTGCCCCTCATGGAAATCCACCATGTTCTGCCCCTGGAAATCCACCATGTGTCCATCCATTCCAACCCCCCATCCCCCTCCCACCCCTCCCGGGCCACTGCCGAACCTGGGGGGCCACAAGCGCCACAAGCAGACTCCGCCAGGCGTCTCCATGGCACGGAGCTGCGCCGCCTGCATCGCCTCCATGGCCTCCTTCGCCGCCGTCTCCGCCGCTTCCTGCAGAGGACGAGGGACGAACTTTGGACAAGTAGAGATGGAGGGATTGATGGATTGGATAGATTGGATGGAGGACAAGAAGAGAACTTTTGGGGGTTGGAGTGGATGGATTGCTAGAGGTGGATCAGGCATGACATGTGAGACTCAATGCCTTGTGTCGGAAGAGGTCGTCATCATCGGTGATTGCCGCTTCTCGTGAGGGGACCAACCACTCCAATTTCAAAGCGGCCGCTTGGCACAACTTGCAATGGGTACCACGCCTACCACGAGTCTTCGCATATTCTTTGCTCAAATGCAGATGGCGATGGCTATTGTAAAACACATCATGTGGCCTGTTCACTGAACCATGATGACCTGTTCATCGAACCTCCGGTCGAAGCGAAGCTCTCCATTCGAGGGTACCCCTCATGCGAACTCCCTTCGACCGAGAGAACCGGAGCCCGACAGGGGCGAAGGTCAAGTTAAGTTGTGTTCATTTCATATAGAACTAATCTATATCTATACCATATCATATACATATGATGTATTGTTTTTTTTCATGCTCGCTTTACATATGCGTCTGAATTTTGTGAATATTACCTATTCTGTCACTAATAAGAGAACCAAAAGTTGTTTTAAGCCAAATGGTTTTGCTGGATTTGATTGACGCCTGTGGAAACTAGGATTCGGAACTGTTGATGTCAAGATCGGAAACCGAAACACACTAGCAATACTCCCCTAACAATTACAAACATCAAGCTGTTAGAATCAGAACTTACATTCACATGCTGTTTCATTGTTTTAATCTTCATCCCCAATGTCAAGATTCATCTCCAGAATTTTCTGCAAATCCCAGTCCTTGGCAGCGTGCTCCTGCAAATCTCCGCAAGATGCCAAGAGACATCGTCGAATCATACTTCCACAAATATAATATATATATATATATATGCTTACTGCACTTACAGTACATGCCCTGAAAAGAACCCAATGTATGGTACGGATAAATATGCTATGAATGGAGTGCTGTGTATAGATGATGTGTCCAGCTCCAGGTTTGGTAATTCAGAAGTAAAGAACACCAGCAAGCTCAGGTAGACAAAGAACAGCAAAAGAAGAGTCAAACACTTGATGAAAGGACCACATATATATATATATACATATGATGGTACATTGATTTAATCAGCAAATAAATGTCTTCAACATTCTTCACCCAAACCTGCTTTCAGACCATCATATACCGTCATTTAAAACAGGAAAAATTGTCCCACCATGTCCCACCATGTCCGCACCTCACTATATGCAGTTTCACCCCCCTGAAGACCGCCTTCATTCCTCCCCGGTCTTCGCGCCTCTGCGGCCTTGGCCTTCAACTGCTCCCGCTCCTCGTCGGAGACCTCGTCGCCTCGCGCTTCCTGAGAACCGCAGAATCCGCGCTCAGCTGATGGAGCTTGGGATGCGTTATGATTCTTATGATGTCTTGAATGGATTCAGGGGTATTTTGCTTTAAACAATTGCTGAAATAGGGGGAGGATGTGTTCCCATGATCAGCCTCTCAGTGTTTCAGTGGCCATCCATGTTTTATCAAACTTTTTGGATTGAACCCGCCATCCTCAGGTCATCTCCACCACCCATCCTCTCTCCCGGGTCTCCGGGCCAACTCCGCCTTCGCCGCGTTGGCCGCCTCAGCCGCCCGCTCGGCCCTCTCCAGCGCCTCCTGCTGTCGCTGGGCGGCTGCCTCGCGCGAGGCCTCCTGCGTCCCGTGGGGCGAGCGGCGAAAAGGGGACCCGGCAGGTGTGGGGCGATAAGGCATTTTGTGCGGCGAGAAAAATGAGCATGTTTGATGGTACAGCATGCTTTCACATTGATGATATTACACCCATAAGATGTTACATGTAGAAACAATTTGCAGCATTTAGTATGGTGTTTTGTTGTCGCTTTTTTTAAACTCTAGTCAACACTCTAGCACGTGGGGCTCGAAGTCAGCTTCTAGCCATGACAAGTAGTGATTTTGGAATGTTTTGGACCAAGGGTGGAGTGCAGCTTCTCCCAGCAATAGGGTTAACCTGGGATGGTCCCCATGGCAGGTGGACATGCCCACGGCTCTGTACTGGATCTTGGAACCCACAGCTCGTACGGCTGACTTGAACCAGCGAGCGTCAGCGGCCTCTTCGGCAGTCCGTTGCTCATAGAGGGCCTGCAGGGGGGGCCAAGCACCCCAAAGTGGGAACATGATACCATAGGCACATGTGGCCTACCACCAAAGGAAGGAGGTCTCAACACTACCCTATAGGGTCTACTGGGGCTCTCGACACCTCTGTTTGGATGGCCCTTATGTGCTCGTCTTCAAGAAGTGCGCTCTTGGGAGCCACGAAGTGCTCCATCCTCACCAAGCTACAGCATGATGGTGTGGTGATTGCGGGTGGGGCAAGAGCGAGCCAAATATGGTCCAAGCCTGAACGAATTCAACAGCAATAGCCTAATAGCCTAATAGCCATCTAGCTCGCTAAAGTCACATGAAGACAGGAAAGGCATCTGGCAGCCTTTCAGCCCTCTAGGCCCTGGCCCTTTCAGGTCAATAAAGGATTCCAATGGAGATGATTGTAGACTCAACATGCGAGTGGCACATGGGCAACTCCTACCCTACACGCAACTTCAACCACTCCTATACACGGAACCTTCAGATCCGGAGCCACCCCAAACGAAGGGACCACATGGGACCACAGCCGACCTTGACCTCAGTCCAGTCAGGAGAAACCTCCCAAAACGCCAGCTGCCCTCCCTCCGCACGGTCGATCGGGGCGGATCTGGGACCTTCATCTCCATGGCTTCCTCCCTCTCTCGTTGTGCCGCCGACTTGGCCGCCTGAACAAGCTTAAGCATGGCCATCGCCCTCCATCAACCCCCCAGCGGAGACGACATGCAAGTTAACGGAAGTTCAAAACTCAGGAGGCCAACCGATGGAGCTGACCATGCTCATCACCCAGTTTGGGCCAACGTTTGGGGTCCTCTACAATGTTGACGGGTGACTTCTACAACATTGTTATACAATTATATACTACAACCTTTAAAACATACACAACATTGTCAACGTTGCACATATCTTATGAACTGAAAAGTTGTTGAAGTCGTAGAAGTGGGAAAAGTCATCAAGGTTGTATATATCCAAGATCGTAGAAGTTGCAAAAGTTGTCAACGTCGTAGAAGTTGACATCGTTGTATATAAATATTGACAAAGTAGAAAGGTAGATCATAGAAGTGACTGTTACCATAGATATATAGCCCTGGATAACCTGGGTGTGATTTTCTGGCCTTGTCCAATTGGTGTTGACGCCTGTGTTTGCCACTCTGAATCCTCCAACAAAACCCTAAAGCAAAATGATCTCATGGGAGGTTAAAGCCCTGACTCTGGAAATCGATCAGAGAGACCCCTCATCACAGACCATCCATGTATAGCAATATGCCTATAATTTTCTGAAACCACCCGGCCCCAATGTAGGTAAATAGGTCATACATTGACATGGATGATCTAGGTAGGGGAACCCTTATGGAACCCCCATGAAGCCCCTAACCTGTAAAAGCTGGAGCGTCAAGAAACTGCAATGTGTCCCCATTTCTGGA